AAGCATTTGCACAGCTTTAGGTTCAGCTGAAGCTCAGCTTTAGCATAGGCTCAAGCTCAGTAGCAGCTCAGCTTTAGCACATCTTTAGGTTCAGCTGAAGCTCAGCTTTAGTACAGTCTTAGGTTCATTTGCAGCTTTAACTTAAGTGCGGTTACGCATTAGTTGCAGCACAGCCTTAAGTTCAGCTTCAGTCTAGTCATCAGTAACAAAGTCTTGATTGGGTGCTCAGACAAAAGATTAAATAATTTTTTTTTGTTGAACTTTTTTGTTTCTTTACCTGCCAACAAAATTTATATTTGGAACCTTTTGTGTGTTTTTTTTGTTTTCCTATCTTTTCTGTTGTGTTTTTTATTCATGGAGATTGTTTGGGTAGATTTTGCTATTATGACTTGATATCCAACGCACACCCTCATGAAAATGATGAAAATATTGGATTAATAATTTTTCTGTTGTTGTTAAAGCTGTCTGAAAATTTGAAATATTTGAAAGATAATGAAGTGGCTTAAGGGGGGACTTTTGGGTGATAAATTGAAAATCTTATGAGTTTTGGATGTGGCAAGACGTTTAATTTTTAAAAAAATCAAAATTTCTGGAAAAAAATAAAAAAAGCAAAAAAAGTTTTTTTTTCATTTTTAAAAAATTTAACAAATTTTATTTTTCACTTTTGATTTTGAAAATTTTCTAAATTTTTCATTTCTAATTCTTCATCTAATAAAATTTCTTAGAAATAAAACCTACAAATTTTTGCATCCTTAGTCACTAACACATTGAAATTTTTTGATATTTTTTTTGTCTACAAATTTTTTATTCAGTTTCTAATTTTTTTAAATGCAATTTCGAGGAAGTATTAAATTTTAAAAATATTTTAGATATGCCAGATTGTTAAATTTGATACTTAATATGTTTTTTGATCACTAATAGAGTCCGAAAATTTTCTCGAATTTTATTTTTTTTCTAATTATTTTTTTAAATTTAAATTTCTAGCTGTTTACTCAAATTAATGATTTAATTTTACTACTTTCAGATACCAGAATGATTTATTTTCGACCATTTTTTACTTGATTTATTTTATTTCAGATTTATTTTTGTGTTCCTTAACCATAAAGTTTTATATCTTTTTACTCAGATTGTCTGCGTGCTTATTGCTATGTATAAATAGTTGGTTGGTGGTGTCCTTGTGGAAATTTCACGGGCAAATAAATTATGGACATGGTTTGAGAGGTTCTGAGGGGTTCTGAGGGGATCTGAGTCCTCCTTTTGCCTTGTTGTTGATCTCTGTCACTTCCTATCCCTCCCTATCCCTCCCTATCCCTCCCTATCCCTCCCTATCCCTCCCTATCCCTCCCTATCCCTCCCTATCCCTCCCTATCCCTCCCTATCCCTCCCTATCCCTCCCTATCCCTCCCTATCCCTCCCTATCCCTCCCTATCCCTCCCTATCCCTCCCTATCCCTCCCTATCCCTCCCTATCCCTCCCTATCCCTCCCTATCCCTCCCTATCCCTCCCTATCCCTCCCTATCCCTCCCTATCCCTCCCTATCCCTCCCTGTCCCTCCCTATCCCTCCCTATCCCTCCCTAATCCTCCCTATCCCTCCCTATCCCTCCCTGTCACTACTCATTGCTCTTTGTTGCCTCCAAAATCTCCACAAAGATCAACCCAACATTTTTGTCTTGATTTTTCGACCAATTTTTTACAACTTTCTTTTTCTATTTTCATCTACCACATAAAATTAATAATCTATTAAGAGGGTGAGAATTTCGGTCTTTTTTGCTTCTATTTTTACCCTCCATAACTTTTATTGTATTTATTGAATGGGTCATTTTTCACATAAACGATTTTCATTACTGCCGTCGTATATTTCATGCGTGCAACCTCCTTTTTGTGTGTGGATGGGGTTTCTATTATTTATATAAATTACAGCATGTACCCATTGAGGATTTTCTATTGATGAAGGTTTTTTACGTATTTTTTTTGCACTCACTTGATTGTTTTTTTCTATGATTACTATCATTATTCTTATTACTATAACTACTATTAATATTACAAGTTATTTTTTTGACTAACTTTGCCTGTAGCTTTGCTTCTCTTTGGATATAAACCCTTTTTTCTCATCACTGTGAGTAGTTTGATTTATGAATTTTAGTGTTTTTTTTGGTCAGATTTATAGTTTAGTTTTATTCATAAGTTTCTCTGAGCGACACTTGATTGATATTGGGTGATGTGATTTATTGTTGATGATGAATTTCCTACAAGGATGCAAACTTTTACTTCAAAGATGCAAACTTTCGCTTCAAAGATGCAAACTTCAGTTCTAAAGATGCAAACTACAGTTTTAGAGATGCAAACTTATGCTTAGAAGATGCGAAAGTTTGCTTCAAAGATGCAAATCTTCACTTCAAAGATGCAAAATTTTGCTTCAAAGATGCAAAATTTTGTTTCAAAGATGCAAACTTTCGCTTCAAAGATGCAAAACTTATGCTAAAAAGATGCAAAAGTTTGCTTCAAAGATGCAAACATCTGAATCAAAGATGCAAACTTCTGCTTCAGAGATGCAAGTCTTCACTTCAAGATGCGAATTTTTACTTTAAAGATGCAAGTCTTCACTTCAAAGATGCGAATTTCTGCTTCAAAGATGCAAAACTTTCCGTCTCAAAGATACAAGAACTTTTGCTTCAAAGATGCGAACTTCTGTTCCAAAGATGAAAACGTTTGCTTAAAAGATGCAAACTTTCGCTTCAAAGAAGCAAACTTTATGCTTTAAAGATACCTACTTTTGCTTGAAAGACACAAAAATTCTAAACTTGTTCTTTAAGCCATTAAACCCTTTTCTCTCCCCAAAGTAACCTTAAAAAGTGCAGCTTAAAATTTTAACCCCCAAAAAAGCCATCCGTCCTTCAACTTTACAACATCACAAAAATTTTATTCCCCAATTTTTTTCATGCCTTTAAAATCCACACAACCTCAAAAAAATTATTTTGCACCTTTTTCTGTCCAAATAAATTCCTAACCGCGCGCAATACAATCCCCAAATGCTATGGTCACTGCCGCACATTTACTGACTCGTGTCATAAAAACAATATTTTCATTTCATCAAACAACAGGCAAAAAAAAGTGACCAACAACGACATTAAAACATTTTTGCGTTCATTTTCTAGTTCAGTGAACTTCCGTTTCAATTTTTTTGAGGACAATGACGATAATGTTGATGGTCTTCGTGTCCTTTTTGGCTTAAATTTTACTTTTTTTTATGAGTTCCTCTAGTTATTGATTTTTACCAATTTTTTTATGAGTTTTTCATGCTGACTGTGATGATAATGATGCTTTTTGGGGGTCATGGGAGTCGTTGGGGTGGAAAATTTATTAAATTGGAATTTTAAGGATGAAAATTGGGGAGAAAATATTTTACTTTGTGGTGGCTTTAATTAAAATTTTCGAATGAAAAAGTTTTTTTTCTCCCTTTTTTTGGAAAAATTATTGCAAAATGGAATTTTTGAATGGTTTTGTTCATAAATTACAAGCAATTGAAGCCTTTTGTTGTTGAAAATAAATTTTGAAAATTAATTTTGTGGAAAAGTGAAACTTTTTTAAACAAAAGAAAACTTAAAAATTGCTCAATATTGATGGGGCTGTTGAGATAGATGAGCACATGATTGTTGTATAAATTATTTATTAATTAAAGAACTTGAAAATGTTGCAAATGTGCTCACTTATTGCATTATTTTTAGGGTTTAACTCATTAATTTTTCACTTAACAAAGCTTCAAAATTTATAAATCTAACCTAAAAGTTTTGCATCTTTACGCATCTTTGAAGTAGATATTAGCATCATTGAAGCAAAAGTCATTGCGTCTTTGAAGCAAATTTTGGCATCTATGACGCAAAAGTATCTTGCATCTTTAAAGCTAAAGTTTACATATTTGAAGCAAAATTTGGCATCTAGGACGCAAAAGTTTGCGTATTTGAAGCAAAAGTTTGCATCTATGAAGCGAAAGTTTGCATCTTTGAAGCGAAAGTTTGCATCTTTGAAGCTAAAACTTGCATCTATGAAGCGAAAGTTTGCATCTTTGAAGCTAAAGTTTACATATTCTTGATGCCCATGATACAACTTAATCCTCAAAATGCATCACTAGCAACAACACCACCAAAACCCCATCCATCCACTTAAAAACTGTAATTAAAACTTCAAACAACCCAGAAACTCAAACAAAAACTTTCCATGACAGAATATGCAAATAAATCTCTATAGTCATTAAGTTTTTTACTCATCGTAACTTTTTCATCTTCATCAGCATCCACCATCCACTCAGAAACTTGATATTATTAAAAAGAATTTTTTTACTTTGCATCTTCAACTTTATATTGAAAATTAATTGAAAAGTTCTTGCATTATTCATTTACTGTGCTGGGGTGGGATGAATTACAAGATTGAGGATTTCGCATCTTTTTATTCGAGAGTTTGCATCTTTTGACGCAAGAGTTTGCATCTTTTGACGCAAGAGTTTGCATCTTTTGATGTGATAGTTTGCATCTTTTGATGCGAAAGTTTGCATCATTTGACTCGAAATTTCACATTTTTAAAGAACAATTTGCATCTTTTGACGCAAAAGTTTGCATCTTTCGACGCAAAAGTTTGCATTTTTGAAACGACTGTTTGCATCCATAAACCATCTGTTAGCATCAGTCAAAAAAAGAATCCAATATTAAAGTAATTCAATTTTCTTCAAATAAATTAATTTTCAATTATTTTTCCATCTCATCCCAATCTTTATTCTACAACAGCATCACCCAAACTGCAGACAGAAGAAAGTGCACTCGAGATTTATACAAAAAAAAAATATAAATTTCCACATTGTCTTCTTTTCTTTAGCGTCATTATTTCCCTACTGATATCATTTTACACAAAAGGAAGCACTTGAGGCCTCCCAATTCCACTTTTTATACACACCCGACACCCCACACCCTCATCTCGGTACCATTTGTGAGATAGGAACGATAGACTTTTACACAATGAATACTCGAATGATGGCCATAAGAACGAATATCGAAACGGTTGCCTGGTTGCATTCATTATTTGATGTTTGCTGCAATAATGTCGATGGGCTTCGTACTTCTTTGCTCTTATCATCCTCGATAGAATTTTCATTTGCATCGTCGTCGTTTGTTTGTTTATTGGAACGCGGTGAGGTGCAGAATGAGTCGGGTGGACGATATGGCTTTGTTATCACGGCTGGCGTTCCTGATATCTGGATTTTATTGAAAAATTGGATGCAGAAAAGATTGAAATTGAAATTTTAAAAGCAATTGTTTGAGTTGAAATGGAATGAATTTAATTTTACAGTCCGGATTTAAGTGCTTTGTGGGGTGAGTTGATGATTTGGAGCAGTTTAGTGGGTGGGAATTAGAAACTTAATCTGCCGTGCGTCATATTCCGATGAACACTGAAAAGTTTCTCCCAAAATATGACTTACGTCAGCATCAAACCCTTCATAATCATCTCATCTTAAATTACCAATTAAACTTCCTTATTCCGGACATAAAATTAACATCCACATCCAATTCTCATTACTTATTCTAAAATTATCCATTTAAACTCACCCGTGTGGCAACAAAAGCACTGTTACAATAACCATCAAATGCTGATGTCTTTATGATTCTCTCAAATGTAAAGAACTCATTCTTCCAATCATAAAGTTCCAAATGTTTCTCAAGCGTTCTTCCTGCATACCTATCCGGCTTCGTTATGACTGTTTGATTCCAATTCTTCCTGTAAGAGTTTCATGTGGGTGAACAAAGATTATATTATTGTGTGTAGGTGGAAGCAGCAGAGTGTAAGAAGGCAAATGAGGGATTATTAAGGGGGGTTATTGGTTGATTGAAGTTGTTTGCATCATTTGATGCAGAGCTTTGCATCAAAAATGCAGAGCTTAGCATGAAAGATGCAAAGATTAGCAACAAAAATTCAAAAATTAGAACATAGTTTTGCATCATTGAAGCAGAGTTTTGCATCACTGAAGCAGAGTTTTGCATCATTGAAGCAAAGTTTTGCATCATTGAAGCATAGTTTTGCATCACTGAAGCAGAGTTTTGCATCATTGAAGCAGAGTTTTGCATCACTGAAACAGAGTTTTGCATTATTAAAGCAAAGTTTTGCATCACTGAAGCAGAGTTTTGCATCATTGGAACAGAGTTTTGCATCATTGAAGCAAATGTACGCATCTTTGAAGCAACATTTCGCATCTTAGAAGCCATACATGAGCCAAACTTTTCCACAAGATGCTAGATCCCCCTTAAATCCTCAATCAAATAAATAATAATAATAATAAGCAAGACAAATAAGCACACACAGAAAAAAATATAATAATCAAATAAATCAAATGTTTAACGAACCCAAGTTCCTCAATTCCAAGTGCCCTAAGGACATCCGATATTTTCGATTGTGAATTACATGCAACGAGTTGTTCCTGCCTCGGATAATACATAATATTTGCCATACAAATTTCTTCATTCGATGACTCGCCACCCAGCGTGAATCGCTCACGTTTATATGAATTGTATGTGCATTCGACCATCAAATGATCACCAGGATATAATTTCCTTGAATTATTCAATAGACGTGTCTCAATATAATTTGAATTGAGATTAGAGTCTTGTGCTAATGGCTCAAGTTCCTCTCCATTTCTTACTAAATTAATTTTCACCATTGTACCCGCACTATGTGTCTGCATTGTTATGCCGAAAATATTCAATCCGTCAACTGGAAATGCTTTTTGCGTGCAATTTGATGTACAATGTCCAATAGACACAACACGTTTATATCCCGGGGCAATAATGTGAAGGAAGTTTGGTCGAATGTTCATTGCAATTGTTCCGGCGTCAAATTTTCGTCGCTCAGACGTGTGGAAGATCCGAAATCCGGATGAGTCTTGAAACTCTTTTGGAATGTCTTGATAATGGATCTCGAGAAGGAAGTTGTCGGACTCTGTACTGTCTAATGGATATCCCACATCATCTGGGTATGTAAATCCATCAGATCCTTTCGTCCAAATTGCAATTGTTGTGAAGCACTTCCGTTCAAGTTTTAATCTCTCGCTGCACTCATCATTGACATCATCAGCATTCCTTAAGTCACTAAGCTGCGATTTACACTCATAAATTCTCATAAAATTGATGAAATTCTTTGATTCTAGTGATGAAAATATCGACTCGTATCGTACAATGTGATGATTTGTTAATTTATTTCTAAAACTATGGCACCATTTGAGTAATCCGTGTGATGTCACGTTGGACATGTCATTGCGGATCTCGAACATTTCGAATGTCTTGTTGCTATTGCTGATTAAATTTGGACTACGTTGGAGGAGTAAAAGTGATCGAATTTGGAGAATTGCGTGAGATAAATTTGGTGAATTATCACTGCGGAATTGACCCCGCTTTGGCTTCTCGTCTGTGTATAAGAAGATTATGTTCATTGTGTCGTTCTGGAAAATTGGAAATGCAAATAGAATTATTAATAATTAATGAAATATTCAATTATTAATTATTTTGTGGAAATTTTGTGTAGGCAAGTTAGAAAAGTTTTGGGTTTCTAAGGTATAAGGCACTTTTTAAGGTTAATAAATGACGAAAAATCTAGTCTAATTATAAGAAGATCTAGTCCAATTTTAAGAAAGTCTAGTCCAGTTTGAAGAAAATGTAGTCCAACTTGAAGAAAATCTAGTCTAATTTTAAGAAACTCTATTCCAATTTGAAGAAACTATAGTCCAATTTTAAGAAAATCTAGTCTAATTATAAAAATATCTAGTCCAAATTTAAGAAGATCTAGTCCAAATTTAAGAAACTTTAGTGCAATTTGAAGAAACTCTAGTCCAATTTGAAGAAACTCTAGTCCAATTTTAAGAAACTCTAGTCCAATTTGAAGAAACTCTAGTCCAATTTTAAGAAACTCTCGTTCAAATTTAAGAAATTCTAGTCCAATTTTAAGAAACTCTAGTCCAATTTTAAGAAACTCTAGTCCAATTTGAAGAAACCCTTGTCCAATTTGAAGAAACTCTAGTCTAATTTAAAGAAACTCTAGTCCAATTTGAAGAAACTCTAGTCCAATTTGAAGAAACTCTCGTCCAATTTGAAGAAACCCTTGTCCAATTTGAAGAAACTCTAGTCTAATTTAAAGAAACTCTAGTCCAATTTGAAGAAACTCTAGTCCAATTTGAAGAAACTCTCGTCCAATTTGAAGAAACTCTAGTCCAATTTGAAGAAACTCTAGTCCAATTTTAAGAAACTCTAGTCCAATTTGAAGAAACTCTAGTCCAATTTTAAGAAAATCTAGTCTAATTATAAAAATATCTAGTCCAAATTTAAGAAGATCAAGTTCAAATTTAAGAAATTCTAGTCCAATTTTAAGAAGCTCTAGTCCAATTTTAAGAAACTCTAGTCCAATTTTAAGAAACTCTAGTCTAATTTTAAGAAACTCTAGTCCAATTTTAAGAAGCTCTAGTCTAATTTGAAGAAACTCTAGTCCAATTTGAAGTAAAATTTAGTCCAATATCAAGATACTCTAGTCCAATTTGAAGAAACTCTTGTCCAATTTGAAGAAGATCTGGTCCAAATTTAAGAAGATCTAGTCCAAATTTAATAAATTCTAGTCCAATTTGAAGAAACTGTAGTCCAATTTAAAGAAACTCTAGTCCAATTTGAAGAAACTCTAGTCCAATTATAAGGAAATCTAGTCCAATTTTAAGAAAATCTAGTTCAATATTAAGAAGGTCTAGTTTAACTTCAAGAAAATCTAGTCCAATAATAAAAAATCTAGTCCAATCTTTAGAAAATCAAGTGTAATTTTAAAAAGTCTAGTACAACTTTAAGAAATCTAGTAAAATATTTGCAAAAAACACAAAATCAATTGATTCAGCAAAAGCTAAACAAAATCAATAAAACATCCAACAAAAGTCAATAAAGCACCTTCAAGATTGAAAAGCAGAAGAAGAATAATGGAAATGTGCAAAAGGAAAACTCAATTTGGAGTCAAAACATTTACAAAAGATGTTGACTTTAATTTTCAAATCACGAACTGTACCTTTCGCATTCATAGCCAGTCAGACGCATAAATTAATGTAAATGTCCGTAAAATTCCGTCAAATATTTCTCTTTTCAGCTTCAATTCCCTCCCTTCCGGACAAAAGGACCTTAAGCCATTCTCCCAAGAAACATTTTTAAACCTTTTTTCATTCATTCAATTTTAATCATCTTGAAATGAATAGCATGAAAATATCCCAAAGGTATCCAATTATCCATTCTTTAAGCCTTCGATCAAATAAAAAAATCTTTTTTTGAAGAATTTTTGTGCTCTTCTTTTTAAAGAATTGCTTGAGTTACGTCAGATTATGAAAGGAGCTGAAGGTTATGGGAAGATAAATATCCCCAAAGCGGCATGTTCCGCCTACGCTTATCAAAATTTTATTCTTTCACTCTCAAAATTCCCTGAGAGGATTGACTTTTTCTTTTTGTATGATGAATTTAAACTGTGTCTTGGATTTAATTGCTCGCGAGAGAATTGACTTAATTGATGCTTATTTTATTCAGGTTTTGGGGGTTGAAGTGTCTATTTTTGCGAGTCAACTGGTGATGACGTAATGTCAAAAAAATGATAGGAAAGTGAGGATTTAGATAGATTTTTTCAAATTTGGACTAGATTTCTTAAACGATGGATTAAACTTTTCCAAATTGGACTAGATTTTCCCAAATTTTAATAGATTTTCTTCCAAATTAGACTAGATTATCAAATTGGACTAGATTTTCTTTAACAGTACTAAATTTTTCCAAGTTGGACTAGATTGTTCAAACTAGACTAGATTTTTCAAATTGGAATAGATTTTTTCAAATTAGACTAGATTTTTTAAATTGGACTAGATTTTCCAAATTTTAATAGATTTTTAAATGGACTAAATTTCATAACTTGTACTACCTTTTTGCAAATTATACTAGATTTTTCCAAATTAGACTAAAAATTTCTTCTAAGATAGACAAAATTTTTTTCCACGATTAGACTTGATTTTTCCAAGTTTCACTCGATTTTCTTAAATTGTGGACTTGATTTTTTTTAAATTGGACTAGAATTTTCCATATTGGACTAGATTTTCTTGAAATGTGGACTTGATTCTTACAAATTAGACAATATTTATCAAATTGTACCAGATTATTTCATATTGGACTAGATTTTCTTGAAATGTGGACTAGATTTTCTTGAAATGTGGACTAGATTTTCGTTCATTGGACTAGATTTATTAAATTGGACTGATTTTTCGATATTGGACCCAATTTTCTTGAAATGTGGACTTGATTTTTTAAAATTAGACTAGATATTTTTAAAATTTTACTACTTTATTTGACAAATAAATTTTAGAATTGTACTAGATTTTTCCAAAGCTACACTAATTTCACCCCTATTCAGCAGAACGTGACACTTTCCCCAAAAACTTCCACAATAAAATAAATTCCCTTCCCATTTCCGCTACAAAATCTTCATCCAATTTAAGTAATTACTTTGTAAGTCACACAATATTTTCAACTCGTCTAAGCATTTTCCCATTACACGGCTCGTTATAGCCGGATACGAAAGCACAACGCCATAAAATCCACACAAAAATAAATTTCACTGCATAGCATTTCATTAAATGAATACGAAAGGAATTCCTAATTTAATTACGGCTACTTAAATTACATGCTTCTTGATAATTTTAAGCCTATTTAAAGGTCTGATGACTGACTTGAAGCTGCTTGTGCCTGAAAATTATTTCAATTTCTTTCGTACTTCTGAATCATTAAGATTAGTGCCGGTCTCTTAAGGATAATTATGCTTAATGGCCCAAAAAAATGACGAGAAAGTTCCACTGGACAAATCTTTAATGGCACTTACCGTAATTGGAACATCTGATTTGTCATCGCATGTGTTTAACTTCCTTCGAAATCTCAGAATTGTGTGGGTTGAGTTCTCACTGCCTGATAACAGCTCATAGTCTTGTGATGTGTCCACGACTGGCTCGCTTGTCTGTGTGTGTGTCTTGATGTGGCAATCCTGTGAATAGACATAAGATGGATGATGAAATAAGGTTTAATGAGTCAGTAATCAGCTAGTCTGGAGCTAAATCATCCCCTCCAGAAAAGGCAATTATTCCAATAAATTAGGAACATTCCTGCACATCAATCCCCAATTACTGCACGAAATTTTTTTTTCCCCTCAACAGAACAAAGCTGCACAGCAAGGCACATCGGAATTGAATAAATAAAGAATTTTTCAGTGGAATTAATCGTGCGTTTAAATTTTTAATTTTCATGAATATTTCAGCGATTCCTTCAGCATCAGCCTCGACATTCATCCAAATACACAATCGCGAACATGAATTCAGCATTAAATTCACTGAGAATGTCAGCGTCATACAATGAGCGAGTGGAACAAAAAGAGAGCAAGTTGGAAATGTCAGCGGGTTTGTTGGGTTAGAGGCGCATTTTTTGGAGGAACCGCTCTTTCACTTATCTTAATCGATACTTCTGGATTTGATATTCACTATTTTCAATCTTACCATGTCTGACAACCATGAACTTGAAATGATCACTTATGAATGCCAGACTGACAAACAAACGGACAAAGGTTATATTTTTACCAACAATCCTTAACTATACGACTCCTAATACCACTCGCAATCAAGAAATAATTTGAAATAGACGATAGCTTATGTAACAGCCAGCCAGACAGACAAACAACCCAAGCCCCATTTTATAAAATGTCAAAATTAACTGCAAATGGAATGAATAAAAAATGAGCCAGAAAGGCTCTAAATAAACTGTAGATTGACTGACAATTTAATTCACAAACTGTCATTGTCGCCTTTCATTTTCTTATCTCAGCTCACTTTGTTTATTTTATTTTATGCCTTTTTTTCAATCATTTTGTGCTTCATTTCATTTTGTGTTATTAATGGTTCGTGTGACATTTCATTCTGTCGGTTTTCATTTCTTTTGTGTCGTGTCTGTATATTGACTGTGGATCTTTTTACCTCAATTTTCATTATGTTCTGTTTGGAAATGAATTTGAATTATTGACTGTGCACTGTGATGAAGTCATTCGGGGAGATTAATGGAGATTTTTGGAGGGGGTGGAGACAAAAATCGGGATATAATTGAGATTTTAAAACTTTTAAACGTATAAATGTGCAATTTTTGACGATATAACCACAAAACCGTGTGCAACGTACGACTTTTGACAAACGAAACCTCAAAATGTCACGAAACCGTGTGTAACGTGCGACTTTTGACAAACATAACCTCAAAATGGCACAAAACCGTGTGCAAAGTGCGACTTTTGACAACATAACTTCAAAATGTCACAAAACCATGTGCAACGTGCGACTTTTGACAAAGAATAACCTCAAAATGTCGCAAAGCTGTGTGCAAAGTGCGACTTTTGGAAAACATAACCTCAGAATGACACTAAACCGTGAGCAACGTGCGACTTTTGACAACATAGCCTCAAAATCGCACAAAGCCGTGTGCAACGTGCGACTTTTGACAAACATAACCTCAAAATCGCACAAAACCGTGTGCAACGTACGACTTTTGACAAACATAACCTTAAAATGTCACAAAACCATGTGCAACGTACGACTTTTGAGGGCCGCATACCCAAAAAAAGACACTCAGCTACAAGATTTCAAAAAGCATGTCAACAATAATTGAATTTTGTTTCCCAGAAAAATCCTGCAACCCTTCAACTTCTTTAATTTTTAATTTATTCCGCCTTCGTTAAGCAAACTCCAACTCCAACTCCATCCTAATTCCTAGCAACCGCGACGTACTTAGCTTTAATGTAAGCAATTTGATGTAATTACTGTCAACATGAATGAGGCAATTACTCAAGTTACAAATTAATTTAAATCAAGAAAAGTTCTTAAAAAACAGGAAGTTAAAAAATTAAAAGAAAAAACTTTTTCGACCTCATTTCCACAGACTTTTTTTTTCAGTATTTACTTTGCTGGAGAAGTTTCAGATGCTGAAAATGTTAATTTAATGGTGAAAAATTTCTTGTTTGTGTTTGAAATTTTTCCTTTTCGCTTGTTTGGCTTTTTTTGTGGGAATTGAAATTAGATTTTCGTGGAAATTGCTTAAGTATTAATAGCATGTGGTGGAAATTTGTGGGAAATTCTGAGATACTTTGAGTACTTATCAGTCAAAAGTGGCTTTTTAACAGTTTTGAAACATTTTGAGGTTATGCTGTCAAAAGTCGCACATTACAAAAGGTGTTTTGCCATTTTGAGGTTACGTTTGTCAAAAGTCGCACGTTGCACACGGTTTTGTGACACATGAAGTTATGTTTGTCAAAAGTCGCACGTTACAAAAGGTTTTTTGCCATTTTGAGGTTATGTTTGTCAAAAGTCGCACGTTACAAAAGGTTTTTTGCCATTTTGAGGTTATGTTTGTCAAAAGTCGCACGTTGCATACGGTTTTGTGACATTTTGAGGTTATTTTTGTCAAAAGTCGCACGTTACAAAAGGTTTTTTGCCATTTGGAGGTTATGTTTGTCAAAAGTCGCACGTTACAAAAGGTTTGTTGCCATTTTGAGGTTATGTTTGTCAAAAGTCGCACGTTGCACACGCTTTTGTGACACATGCGGTTATGTTTGTCAAAAGTCGCACGTTAAAAAAGGTTTTTTGCCATTTTGAGGTTATGTTTGTCAAAAGTCGCACGTTGCATACGGTTTTGTGACATTTTGAGGTTATTTTTGTCAAAAGTCGCACGTTACAAAAGGTTTTTTGCCATTTGGAGGTTATGTTTGTCAAAAGTCGCAAGTTGCACACAATTTTGTGGCATTTTGAGGTTATGTTGTCAAAAGTCGCACGTTGCATACGGTTTTGTGTCATTTTGAGGTTACGTTTGTCAAAAGTCGCACGTTACACACGATTTTGTGCCATTTTGAGGTTATGTTGTAAAAAGTCTCACCCGAAAACCGCGCTAATTCAAAAAATATTTCCAACTGAGAAAACACCGCTCAGAAAAGACTGCAAAAAAGAATAAATTAAAAATGCATGCACAGTAACTTACGTAAAAGAACATGTGACCATCATCAATCCACGATATGAAGACATCTGCACCATAAATCGTTCCATCACGTGACAGCCCGAATCCAACATAACCATGCGTCCTAACTTGCATCTCGAACGTTATATCTGCATCCTTTACACTCCACTGTAGCAAATAATTCTCATCGAATCGTATCCAATTATCCCATGTGTTATTTGCATGACTGAATGTTATCACAATTATCATCATAACGAGCACTTTTGCTTTCATGAATGTCAAATTCCATAACAATTGTGTCATTTGTCGACTTAAAATTGCTATCGAGTGAGACATGCTGCTGTGGTTACCCCCCGAAACCCCAAAAATACTTTAACTTTATTCAACAGAATTTTTGGTTGGCGGGAAAATTTTTGACTTTTCTGTGCAAAATTAAATTTTTAAAGTTCATCTTTTTTATGTTGATTTTGTGACTGTTGCTGACGGCTGTTGATGACGATGGTGAACCGACGGGTGTGTTTTGATGTCGTGGGATGAATTTTTAAAATATTGTTTTGTTTTCTATCTGATTTCTGCGGGTGGTTCTGCTTTGTATATCGGCTTGGCTTTGTTGGATCTGTGAATGGAAATTTAAAGAATTGAATGAATTGCTGCGTGGATTTTTGAAATTTTTGTTAAATGACGTCAGTTTTTTTGATAGAGAGGGGGGGGGGGGGGGGGGGGGGAAGAGAGGGGATAGGGGGATAGTAAGGGGAGAAGGGGGCTGTGGGTAACAAAACCTTTGCGAAAAATTCAGATTTTTCATAATGAAAGGAATTATTAGTAAAGGGTAGGAGGGATCCAAAAAACAAGAGGGGGTCCAAAAAACAAAGGGGTTTAAAAAAAAAGAGGGTCCAAAAAACAAGGGAGTCCAAAAAACATAGGAGGATCAAAAAACATAGGGGGTCTAAAAAACAAGGGGAGTCTAAAAAAACAAGGGGATTAAAAAACAAGGGGGGTCCGAAAAACAAGGGGGTCAAAAAACAAGAGGGGTCAAAAAACAAGGGGGTCCAAAAAAACAAGGGGGTCAAAAAAACAAGAGAAGTCAAAAAACAAGGGGGTTAAAAAACAGGGGGGGTCCAAAAAACAAGGCGGTCCAAAAAATCATAGGAGGTTCAAAAAACATGGAGGGGTCCAAAAAACAAAGGGGGTCAAAACAACAAGGGGGTCAAAAAAAACAAGGGGGGTCAAAAAAACAAGGGGGGTCAAAAAACAAGGGGGTTCCAAAAACAAGGGGGTCAAAAACAAGGGGGTCCAAAAAACAAGAGGGGTCAAATAAAAACAAGGGGGTCCAAAAAACAAGGGGGGTCCAAAAACACAAGAGGGGTACAATAATCCCAATTTCCTTCTGGATTCACTACAAAAAAGAGCAAAAATTGACGAAAATTAATTAAATTTAAACAAATTGCAGCTCAAATCTTCAAAAGCTCCATCAATTCCTAGCTCAATTCAGTTCCACTTCAGACATTCTGCAACATTTTTAATTAAAAAAATTCAACATATGCAAAAATTCACTTCAAAAAACTTTCAAATACATTTCCATAAAATCCAATTTTCGTCATCACAACGCTCGTTCAAAATTTTCTTCAATTTAAAAATTTCCAACAGTATCAAAATATCACAAAATAAATATTGAGAGCAGCAAAAAAACAGTTTTACTAGATGGGGTCGTTCACAAATGATGTCAAACATTCAATATTGAGTAAAAGTTCAAACAAAGGATATCTAAGTTTTGGATATCGAGGGGTTTTAAAAGCTTGAGTTTGGAGATACGTCATTTATGAAAGACCATAGAAAATCATAAATAATAAAAAAGTTTATAAAGCACTCAATTTATTTGAACAATGAATTGAGGTAGGGAAGTGTCTATTGTGTGAATGACACTAAAAATATTATTTTATGATTTTTTTTTGCAACTTTAATATAAAAATAAATGAAATAAAATTGTTGAAATGGAACTTTTGCTGAATTGGAGATGAATTGAGAGAAAATTGTGCAAAATGTTGGATTTTGGTGGGTTTAAGGGGGCTAAAGGGGAGTTGTGGGGATCTGGAAGTGACTAAGGGGCCATAAATTGGACATGGAATATAAGAAATAGTCAAAATGGCTTATATGTAGTTCATATGGCCCTTAAGGAAGGTTAAAAAGCTATAAATGAGCTTCGATAAGCTTTGGGTAAAAGAATTTAGGCTTGTGGGAGCTATAAAAAGGTTAAATGAGCGACCAAGGGGTTATGGAGGAGCTATGAGACTTGAGGAGTCTTTTCATAGATTTTAGGGGTTTTTAAACTTTTAGAATTCTAAAATTCTCAAAAAAATGTTCAAATTTTTATAATTTTTTGACAACTTTTGATAATTTTTGCAAAATTTTAAGTCAAAAATTCAATTTTAATTGGTTTTAAATTATTCAAAAAAATTCAAAAATATTCAAAAAATTTATTAAAAATTTATTCACAAACAGAATTTTTCACATCCACGACTGCTCACTTATTTGATATTTAATCACATGAATTATGCAAAAATGAGTGAACATGAGCAAATTTAGATCCGATTAAATTCAAATTCTACTTCTATGCTGCTCATAAACAGTAATCAAAATAAACTTTTTTATGTACCAATTTTACGGAATTGAATTGAAAATAATCGCATTAAAAATTTAAATTTTGTTTAAATAATTACATTTTGAGTGCTTAAAGTTTAATTGGAATTTTATTATTAGATTTTTTGAATTATTTGGTGGATTTTAGAATTTACTGAAAAACTTTGTTTTAACTTTTTAAAAAGTAAAATTTTCTATTACTTAAAATTTAAAATTTACAAGTTTTCAATTTTTTTTTTATTTTTATTTTTCAAATTTATTTTTTTTTATTTAAGTTTTAATATAAAACTGAATAATTAAACTTCATTTTAGACAAACAAGCAATAAGCTCCCATCAGCTCTCCTTTACTCCTCTAACCCCACTCTAATGACCCCCCCTCCTCCCCCTCCCCCCCCCCCCCCCACCTACTCAACGTCTACCTTGAAAAAAACTTGTGTCACAACTTAAAAAACTTTTTCCATACCTTTTAAATTTTTATCAAAAATGAAAGTTTTTAAATAAAATAAAAAGTGCCAACAGAAAAAAAAATCTTGTCAATTTTGATGTAGTTGAAAAATTCTTCTTTTTTTCGGTATTTTGTTCTCTTTTTTCATCAAATAATAAAACAATTTTTGTTGTACTTGAAAAAAGTTTTTTATTTGATGAGCAGTATTTTGATGAAGCTGAGAACTTTGGGAGAAATGTTGGAATTTTAGGAGCAATTTGTCGATTTTGAAGAAAAATTGAAAAACTGAAAAATGTGGAAAAATAAAAAAATTACAAAAGTCCTCGTGTTATTGATCGAGGGACTTCAGCGCATTTTTGTAGCAGCGATCAGCATTTGATTGTCTATTTATTTTTCGTTCATTTACAGATCATGAGAAAATTAGAAGATCATTAATTTTAGTGTAATTAACAAAAAGTTACAATGAATGCTTATATAGAAAGGATTATTATTTAACGGTCAATAAATAATTTGAAATTTGGCCGTTAAAAGTTGCACTAAAAAAACATTAATTATAGTATAATTAAACAATTTGTTGCAATGAATTTCCATACAGAAAGAGTTTATCATTTAACGGTTTTTCGAAATTTAAATTTTAACGACTTTTAAAAATTTGAATTTATAGAGGTAGTCGAAAAAAATTTGAACAGGTTACACTGTTAAAATTAAAGAAATCATTAATTATAGCATTGACACATTGTTTTAAGCTTTTTAACTAATCGATCGGCCAATAACTCGATAGAACTGAGCTAATAAAACAAATCCGAGCTCTCTACGATGTCTGGTTGCAAAGTTTTTATGCTTGCCCGAACGAACGAACGAACGAACGAACGAACAAAGTGTATTATTGAGCTCCCTTTTCGAAAACAAGCTTTCAAAAATGCGCTAAAAAGTCGAAAAAGTTGAAAAAGTTGGAAAAGTTAAAAAAAATTAAAGTTTTTGAAAAATAAAAAAAATAGAAAAATGCGCTCTAATCCCTTTTGTCATAAGACTCTCCCTTACTTCCGACATTTCATTACATGTGAACTTTGAAACAAAATACTTTTTATCATCATAAAAACATGAACAAAAGCAACAAAAAAAAATAAAAAAAAACAACACAAATAAGCAAACAAAACAAAAAAAAGTACGTCTAAGGAAATGCTTTTAAAGCTACGGAAGTAAATTTCATGCTCCAATTGCGAAAAGCGAGAGAAAAAATTAACGCGCGATTTTTTTTTCATCATTGAAAATTTTGTTTTGTTGAATTTGAAAATAAAAAAGTAAAAAAAAAAAGCCGAAAAGATTTTTTTTTCATCATTTTAATTTATTTATTTTGCGTTGGATTTTGTTGACTTGTTTGCGTCAATTTGGAGCACATTGAAATGTGTCAATTGAGTTTCATTTGCGAAATCTTTTTGAATTCTGTTTGGGGATTTGTTTTTGTGAGGTGGGAAAGGGGAGCTGGATGCTGCAAAATGGGAAATGTTTCTTTAAATTTGAGGATCAAATTGAATTTTTGAGGTATTTTCGTTAAATTTTGTTATAATTAAAGTACTAGAAGCAATATAGTCCATAAATTGAAGTACTAAATTTGAGGACTGGAGTCAATTTAGTCCATAAATTGAAGTACTAGAACCAATCTTGTCCATAAATTGAAGGACAAAGGTTAATCTAGTTCACAAAATAAAGGACCAGAGTCAATCTAGTCCACAAAATGAAGTACTAGAGGCAATCAAGTCCATGAGTTGAAGTACTAGAACCAATCTAGTCCATTAATTGAAGGACAAGAGTTAATCTAGTCCACAAACTAAAGTACTAGAGTCAGTCTAGTCCACAAAATGAAGTATTAGAGTCAATTTAGTCTAAAATAGAATGACTCAAGCAAATCTAGTCCAAAAATTCAATCAAATCACAAAAAAGGTTCAAAATCCAACCTTAAAATCAAAACTTTTCAAATTAATCTTCCTCATTAATAAAGTTCCTGATTACAGCAACCAGCAGTGATTTTCGTCGTAAATTATTTTCCCTCTTTTGTCTCTCTTCATTACTATTAAGACACCCTCAAGTAAGATTAATAAACTGATAATTCAGCTCCAATAAATCTTCCTACCTTATCGTACCCAACGAAATTCGAAAAGAAAGCAATTAAGACACAGAAAAACTAGCACAAGCTGATGCCACCATATCCACGAAAATTCAACGAGTTTTCCAAATTTTCTCTTCTTTTTATCA